TCCCCCCAAAAGTACCACGGCTGTCCTCAGCAACAGTGAGGTCCCGAGCTCCTCTGATGGTGAGGAGAGCCGAATCCCGCTCAGGAAAGGCAGCATGACAAGCTTCTCCAGAAGACTGAGAAGTGCGCCATCTTGCCCTCTGGAGCCAGGAAGCGATGCTCAAAATGAGGACCAGCGCTCCCCCAAAGGGAACCGTAGCCACTCTCAGTTACAACAAGGTCTTGAGCTCCTTTGATGATGAGAACAGTCAATTTCACCAGGGAAACCAGTGTGATGAGGTCCTTCAAGAGAAGCAAGAGCTCCCTATAGCGTCTCCTCTTCTCTCCAGTCTTGCCTTTTCTGCTGCCAGCAACAATCCTCAGGTGGGCCCTCCACACCCACCACCATGCTGGTTCAGTTCAGCTGGGTGTAACAAGTTGACCAGCAGTTGCCAATCCACCACACTGCCTGACAGATTTTAGGTGAGGTATGGGGGGCACGGCAGTAGGGAGGAGCCACACTCCGAATGACACACCCGAGGTCACCAGAGAATGGGAGAGCCACCTTGAACCGAAGACATAAGCCATCCAGACCTGAACTCTGCCTGAGAGAGCAGTTGCCGCCCCCCACCGGTCACAAATGTGGTAAAAATGTGTGTGTTCATTAATGAAGTTTATATCAGCTGCTCCATGACAGTGACTACTTCAACTAGAAATTCAGGGCAGTAATGGAACAGGCATTAAAAGATGGGATGTATTTAACTGTAAAGTAAGTGAGATGGGCAGCTCTGGAAGACCGTTTGGCAAAGACAGCCCATTTGGCAAAGTTCATGGATTCATCGATGGCCTCAAGTCAATGAGTAACAAGAGGTTGGAGCTAGGAGCAGGAAAAGTCTCTCAGGGACTGGGCAGAGGGCCAGAGTGGAGGAGGAACATTCCCAGGAGCAGTGGCGGCTCCGTAGGAGAGTAAGGCCAGCGTGGGCACATCTGTTAAAGACAATCAGTGGCCGCTCTGCTAGAGTGGAGAGTTCATGCCGAGTGTCACTATTTGCACACGTGGGCAGGTCATGAATGGCTGGGACCATACCAGCGACAGGGTTTTGCCAGAGGTGGGCTGGTAAATGTCTGACAACCAAGTCTCAGAAAGAAATCCCTAAAAAAAAGAGAACCAAATCCCTAAGTTTTAGCATTGGCCAATTTCCAGCTATAAACAGACTGTCACTGATTAAGGAGTTGGTTCTCGTGAGCCTGCTTGGGTTTTTCTCTTTGTCCTAGTTTTGCTTGTATTTCATGGCTATATAAAGTGACTGCTCTCAGCCCCTGCCTAAATTGTGATGAATTTTCCCCTCCAAGACCCCTGAGGAACAGACTACAGCCACCACCTCCCCTTCCACCATTCCTCTGAAATGTGCCCCAGAAACCCAGGGCTACCATTACCTGCCACTCCAAAAGGCCCTCCTGCTGCACAACTGGGTGCTGGAGAAAAGTTTCTTTTTAATGAAGTTCTGGGTTCAAAGGAAATAGGAAAACTTTTTTTAATTGTACCTTTTAAAATTTAACTTACTCTTTCAAGGTCTTGCACTAGCGAGGTAATACGATGTTTGCACATGTGGCTCTGATTTATTTCACTTATCAATATAGTCTCTAGCTGCATGCATTTATCTTTAAAAGCCTCAAATTTATCTGAAAACTCTTCAAAGCTAGTATAAACTACCGTCCTCTCAAGGTCTGGATTTTATATACTGTAATTCCAGGAAAAAGTGATTGGAATTGTCAGGAGTAAATTCTGGTTACCACCTGCCATGCAACTCATGGTGAGAAAAGACCTGCAATTCTGGGGAGCCAAGGGGCCCTAAATCCAATCCAGCACAAAGGCCAAACCGGGTTTTAGTAATTTATGAAGCAGGGAGTAGCGTGACTGAGAATTGGAAGTAGGTGAGGGCTGTGGGCTGGGCTAGGTAGGAGGGCCAATGGCACCTCTGAGATATGCAGAGAGAGGTATTAGACAAGAGGACCCAATTCCTGATTCCTGTAACTGTACCCTCTAAGTTTGGAGGTATCTGCATAACAAGGTTTGAGGAAGCATCTTGTGTATTGAGTCGCCTGCCTTGGCGCAGATGCTGGTCTTTATCTGCCCCAGGAAATCATCACTGCTTTTTCAGAGCTCTATCCCAGACAGCACAGCTCAGCTCTGCTGCTCAAAGACCTGGGCTTTGCCTTTGCCCACACCCATGTGCATTGCTTACAGCCAATCCAGGGGCAGAGCACCTCCCTAACATCAGCTCTGTGCCTATCAGTAAACAGGAGCAGGGTAAAGGGAATCAACGCGGAGGCAAATTGTCTTCCACCAGGGGAAGGTGTCTCAGTGGTCCTGCATGGTGGTAGCTCTTTCTCACCCTGAAATCCAGCAAGTTGAACTTAGAGCTTGATCTGTGAGCAGCAAGAAAATCACAGTAGGAGGAAACCCTGCTCATCCCAGTGGTCAGAGACCTGCAAGAGTTAGATATTCAGGGACATTGATCCCCAGGCCTGCAATGCTGGCCCTGTCCCTGTGGCACGCTGAGACAGCAATTGAGACTGGGCATGGTGGTGTGTGCCTATAATCCCAGCTCTTGGGAGGCTATAAACAGGCAAATCACTACGAGTCCAATCTTAGTAGTGAGACCCTGAACATCCTGTAGACCCATCCCTAAAATAAAAAATAAAAAATAAAAATAATTCAGGGACATAAGATATTGAAATTATCAGATGCTGACTATAAAATAAGCAAAACATATAGAGAAATAAAAGCTAGACACACAAGAATGAGCAAGAAATGATAGATGTGGAAAAAATGACCAGGCAAATTTTAGAAGGAACCAAGTAGAACTTGAAGCAATTCAATATGTAACTTCCCAGAAAAATCACAGTTTGGATGTCACAGAAATGTCAAATTACTCTAAGAGTTTCTCAGTGCGTGTTCCTATTCTGTGCCTATTTCTTGGACCAATCTGTAGATTCCCTGGGGCCCATGCTTTTGTATTACTTACTGTCTTAAAGTTTTGGCAAAATGTGGTAGCGCACATCTGTAATCTGAGCACTTGGAAGGCTGAGGCAGGATGATCTTCACAAGCTGGACCTACATAGTTCAAAGCCAGCCTGAAGACCCTGTCTCAAAAAAAAAGCCTTTCACATGCCCATTAGGACACAAATACAAAAATTGTTCACAGCAATATTTCCAGTAATGAGGGAGATGGGAACCATCCACGTGATCTCCGAGAGGAGAATGTATGAAAAATATTTCCTATGGATAGCTACAGTGAACTACTCTACAGCCCAGAAAATGGAAGACCGTGGCTGAACATTCAGTGAACAACAGAAGCAAGCAAAGAACAGTCAAGTGACAATCCCATGCAGTTTGATGCCATTTTTATAAAGCTAAAAAAAAAAAAAAAGCAAAGCTAGGTCAGTGGTTCTCAGTAGGGAAGGTAGAAATAGGAGAGACAAGGCTGGAGATACAGCTCAGTGGTGCAGTACTTACCTTGAGCTCATAACTCCCTGGTACCAAAAAAAAAAAAAAAAAAAAAAAGAAGTAGGGGAGACAGAAGAGAGGAAAGACAGCCTCGCCCTGAAGACACAGTGGTTTAGATCCTGTTCGAGATAAACAACCTTGCCCACTCTCTTCTTTTTCCATTAGGAGTGAAGTAGTCTCAATTCTTTTTCCCTCTAGAGATACTGTGTGCTTTCACCTCTATTATTACATTGCAAACCTTTAAAAAAAAAAGTCATCAGCACCCTTGTGGTGCTTCCCACGCTTTGGACCCTGGACACCAGTGAGTGTGGGTTTCCATGGGCTCATCTGCTTCATTGTCTGGGCAGTGCGCCGACCCCACTGTCCCCAGGAGCCTTCTCTCCCCCTCCACAGCCTTCCTTAGTCCCAGGTCATCGGCTCAGCTCCACCTTGGACATCAGTGACTCCATAGCTGATACCCTGCCCCAGCTGCCGGCCCCGCCTTCCCTCGCTGCCCCTCGTTCCCCACCCCCAGCAGGTCCTCTGCTCCTCAGGTGGGAGGTCCCTCTTCCAGCCAGACTCAGGGGAAGGCGGGTTCTCTCTCTGGCTTCTTTTCTTTCCCTTCACCTTTCAGCACTGACCTGCCAGTGTCCACCAGGGAGATCTAGAGCAGGTCTCGTCACGAGGCCCTGTTTCTTCCTCGGGCCTCTCCTCCCTGCACGACTCTAACTGTTGGGGGGTTCCTGTGCCTTCCCTTTCCCCCTCCCTCACCGCCGGGCCTGTGTGTCGAAGGCTTCCACCAGATTAACAGGCAACTCCTGTCTTGGTCTGTTGGGGGCTGCTTAACCAAACACTTCCAGCTGGGTAATTTATGAACACAGTCCAAGACGCTCAGAAGCTCCAGATCAAGGCATCAGTGTGTGGGGAGGGCCCACTCCTTCCAGACGGGGCGTCGGTCCTCACATGGCAAAAGGAGCGAACAGCCCCCCTTTCTCCCTAGCTATATCCCAGCTCTTTTTTATTTTGGACAGGTCTTGCTAAATGGCCTAGGCTGGGCTCAAACTTCTGATTCTCCTGCCTCAGCCTTCCAGGGTGGGACACCTTGAGGTCTATTTTATTAGGTGCTGCCTGCATAACCTAATCACCCATTGTGCCGGGGTAGGGGGTGAGATTTCAGCCTGTGAACTTTGGGAGCACATTTGGATACAGCAAACTTTCTCCTCAAAATCCTTAAGATCCAGGTTACTCATCTGCTACCTAGTCTTTTCTTACTGGAGCTTCAGGATGGAGACATTGGGCACAACTTTCCCAGAATTCCTCACACCCTCCCCACATTTCTACCTCCTCTTAACTCCTGAATATGATTTCTTTCAGCTCCAGAAATCGTGAACTATGAGCCCCTGGGGCTGGAGGCTGACATGTGGTAAGTTACACAGGCTGCCCTGGGGGGACCCTGGGGACCCTCCTGGGGCAGAAGGCATCAGACCCTGTTTCAGTTGACATTGGTTGACCTTGACCCATTTCTCCCCACTCACCTTTCAGAGTCTCTTTAGCTGGTCCAAGGCCAGCTAAATGTGGAGTCAGAGCCCGAGAGCTGTACAGGAGTATGGGGAGGGTGGGGCCAATGGTGGGGACAGTGGGGACAGTGGCTCCTTGAGCTGGTCTGCCACATGTGCACTGGACGCCTCCTGTGACCTGGACACAACATTAGCCTGGGCAGATCATGGTCATTTACTGGGATCCGTTTCTGTTGCATTATAGGGGGCAAGGCCTTAGTGACTTTCCTAAGACCCTGCCAGCTGTCCACCGGTGGTTGTCATTTTGCTTGCTGCATAAGGCAAAGGGGATAAGTGCCTGCCTGCAAACGCAAGATCCTAAATTCAATCCCTGGTACAAAAAAAGAGGGCAAAAGGGGCTTGGGGCTGGTAAGAGATGGCCCGCATCACAGAACCCAGTGAGGAGCAGGCTGCAGGGAGCTTCAGCACCTTCCGGGGGGGCTGCTGGGGAGGAGACAAGCAGCCTCTGGTCCCCAGAACTTGCAGGCGCCCTTGTGGTGGGAACTGCAGCCAGGTGGCCCTGACTCCGCTGTCTTGTTTGCAGGAGCATCGGTGTCATCACCTACATCCTGTGAGTACCTTGACTCCGGGGCCTGACCCAGCTTAGATGCGGAAAGTGGGAGGAGAGACCAGAGTGGGAAGGCTGACGGGCTGATGAGGCGACCCTGTGGCACGCTCCAGACCTTGCCTCGGCTTTCTTCCCTTTCCCCAGGCCCCTCCTCCTTCTCTCACTCTCTCCTTTCTCCTGCGCTTCTCTGCCCTGAGCCTCCCATTGCTGATGCAGGGAGCTCCTGTTTACTTCCTTTGTGCGATGGGTCTCCTCAGGCGCTGAACACAGAGCTGCCAGCATCTGCCATGGTAGCCTGGGACAGGTGCTTATGCTTTGGGTCTGCTTTTTCTCATTGGAAAAACAAGAATCACAGCCTCCCTGCCCTGGGAAGGGGGCTCACTAAGCCCCATGGACGCATTTTCCAGGGCCTGCTGTGGTACCCACATGGCGAGGGGTCGGCTCACAGCTGGGGGGCAGGGGGTGTGCATCAGTGCACACAGCCTGGGCGCATTCTCTCCGTGGCTCCCAGACCAGGTCTGCAACTCACTGTCGTGCCAGCTCCGCTGTGCCAAGAGTTCCGTCCCCAGAGCCCAGACTCCTCAGGCAGCTCCAAGGTCTCCTGCTGGCTGCACAGGGCAGCTCTTCCTGCCTCCCCTGGCCAAGGCCTCCCTCAGGACTCTAAAATTGGGACTGCTTAGGGGTAGGGCTTCAGCAGAGGCTGGGTGTAACAGTGCAGGCCTGTAATCCCAGCCTTGGGATTAAATTCAAGCCTAGCCTGGGCAATTTAACTTCTTTGTGTTTAATAAAAAAGGGCTTGGGGTATGGCTCAGTGCGAAGGCCCTGTATTCAATTCTCAGTACTGAAAGGAAAAAAATACAAAGCTAAATTTGATGCCAAGAACCATTGATCTATAAATCAGGACCAGAGCCAAAATGTCCAGACATAGGCTCTTGCAGCCTCGGTTGCTTCAAGATGCTCTATCTCTTGTTAAGCTGTTAAGGAACTCCAGAGTGTATGGGCTCATGGGCTTCCTGGGGCACTCCTCAATCTGCCCCTGCTTTCTGGGTGGCCTGCTCCTTCCCAGGGCTGGTGCCAGGTGCCCAGATACTGACATGAAGGGTTCTCCTTGTGTGTGGGGGACACCTCACAGCTGATTCCCACCCTGGCGAACACAGGGAGACAGATGGGGAGGCGTCGGCTTCTTGGGCCTGCGGGAGACTTGGCCCGGGAGAGAGATTGAGGAAGAAAGGTGTTTAGAATCGAGCTAGGAATGAAGTCAGCTCTCTGGTGGAAGGAGAGGAAAGGATCGAGTTTAGATGTAATCCTATGCAAACTGGGGAGTCTTTGTGTTCTGACAATGACAACACAATGACCATTAATTCTAGAGCCCTTCCTATGGCTTGGGTGACACAGAGCATTTTCTGTGTACTCGAAGTCTTCGCAACAGCCACTGGAGGCGGAGGTGGTTATTTTCTTCAAATGAGGAAACGGCTGCACAGAAGGGTGGAGGCGCTTGCCTAGGTTTGCACAGCAAATCTCCCAGTGGGGACAGGAAAGACCTTGAGATTCTAAGTAATGGAAATAGTGAGGCTTTGAGCAAGGGACTGGGAGGGTCCCGGGGGCTGCTGTGTCCCTGGAATGGCACATTTGTGAAGTGATGTTATTAAGGCATGGAGGGGGATTTGAGCTGAGGGAGTTTGAGGGTAGTGGTGCTTCTGGACCGAGCCCAGGAGCCCACTGGAATCTGAGCCAGGAGATGGTAGCCCAGGGTCCCAACGTAGGGCACATCCTTGCTGGCCCTCTAGGGACCCTGAAGACCTTCTGTCTCGGTGCCCCTCCATTTCTGTGCATCATGGCCTTTGCTCAGTTTCTCCCCTGACCTGGGAGAATCTTGCTGCCTCCTCTGACTTCTTCAGGAGCCACCAAAGCAAGTATCAGCCCTCCTGCAGTGTGACCCTGCCACGCTTCCACGCATTCCCCAAGTCCTTTATGGGGGCTTCAGTTATAGTGTGCTTTGTTGGGTGGAAGGACATTATAAAGAGCCCTGCCTCTGGGTTTCCCTCCTCTCGGCTTCTGAGGCCCGAGAAGGTGCTGTTTCCCCTTGGGTTCTGATGGGTGCTCTATGAAGTGAGCTGATTGGACCTGTCGCAGAGGCTGCTCTTGGCTGCCCGGATGGGGTGGCAGTACTGTGGGAGCCCCCAGCCTCACACCAGAGTGGCCCATTCCCCCCTCCCCGTTTCCACTGACTTCTGGCAGTCATGTGCTTCTCTCTCGTGCTCAGCCTAAGCGGAGCGTCCCCTTTCCTGGGAGACACAAAGCAGGAAACCCTGACAAACATCACAGCAGTGAGTTACGACTTCGATGAGGAATTCTTCAGCCAGACGAGCGAGCTGGCGAAGGACTTCATTCAGAAGCTTCTGGTTAAAGAGACCCGGTAAGAGAACAGTACCGGGTTCTCAGCTACTGATCCGCTCCTGGTCTCTGAGGTGTGTCCGTCTGTCCTCCGTGGTCACAGCTGTCACCTGCGCATTGTGGGCTAATCCAGGGAGGCGCTGAGAAGTGAGGCTGGCTGAGGCTGGACCGTCACCTTGTTTGCTCAGGTCACTTGCTGAGTTGCAGATGACCCCAGTGCGTGTGTGTGTGTGCCTGCATGTGTGTTTGGAAATTCTTAGGGCTCCTTACCTTGGGCAGTCTGTCCCAAAGGCACCTGGAACTTGAACTGGAAAGGTAGAACAGCAGGATTTTTTCTGTACTGCATTTAATTTTTAGAAAAGTTTTATTAGTACATATTTGCTATACATAAAAATCACATTCACCATAGGGAACTCATTTTTATTTTTTTATGTAGTTAGTACAGGGTCTACTGGGTCTTATTACATAGATCAGACTCATAGCAATTCTCCTGTTTTCAGCCTCCCAAGCACTGGGATTATAGGTGCGCCCAGTCTGAATCACCCCAGAGGTGGGGCCAGCTTGGCACACTGGGCTCAAGCCCCGTCCCTGCATCTGCGAAGCAGGTGTTTTAATCTACTGAACTATCTGGCCAGCCCTTAGCATAGGGAATTTATATCTGTACATGATATGACTTAATTCTTCCATGTTTTTCTATTTACCTCCCCTAGCCTTCAACCCTTCTTCCCCTCCACATTTACAAAGGCTTCGGTTCCATTTTCCCCCTTCACTCCTTTTTATCTTCCTTTCCCTCCTCCCTCGTTCCCATTCCCACTTGAACGTGTTCTTCCTGCTTCTTGGTGTCGGGTCTCCATCTTGCTCCTTATTTACCCTTTGTGTTTCTCACGGAAGAGAAACAAAATAGGGGTGGTGGCGCACACCCAGAATCCCAGACCTGGGAGGCTGCCTGCCTGGGCTACACAGAGAGTTCAAGGCCAGCCTGGACTGCATAGTGAGACCTTGAGAGAGAGATGGTGGGGGGAGAGGGAAGAGGTTGGGGGAGGGGGGGGAATGGGGAGAGAACTTGTAGGAATTTCAAGCCCTTTCAGACTAGGAGTGGAGGGAGGGGCCCCAGAGAGGTCAGTAGAGTGCTGCTTTAAATTTGGTTGTCGTGGGCTCAGACAGCTCAGGAAATAAAACCTTCCTTCTGGGCCCAAGGTCAGCCTAGGGCTGTGGGATCCATGAAAGAGTTGAGCAGGGAATTGTAGGGTGCTGGGGACCCAAAGCAGGGTCTCAGTGGGGCAAGAGTAAAAGGCCACCAACTCTTTAAAGCAATGTCCTCTTGGTCCTCCAAAGTGGGAAGCCCCTGATTCCCCAGGGAAAGTGCAGGTTAGGAAAGGCCACCCTACTGGGGGACAGTAGCGAAGGGCAGAGGAGGGACCTGAGAGTCGAAAGAGAAATGGAGACCAGAGGTTTGGCAATAGCACTGGCCTTTGGAGGACTGTGGGAGCCCAAGAAAGCACCTAGGATGCCTGGAGGGTGGCATTTGGCCTTCCCACTGTGGAAGTGAAGGTCTCTCCATGGGGGGGCTGGCCTGAACCCCTTCCCTGGAGTTCATATCGCTCCTGCATCCTCCGCTGTGCTGCTCTGACTGAGTGGTCACAGAAAGCTCAGAGTGAGAGGGAGACCATCACCCTGCTCTCTCCACCTGGGTCGTCACTGTCTTCTAATCCTCATTGCAGAAAACGGCTCACAATCCAAGAGGCTCTCAGACACCCCTGGATCACGGTAAGGGCTTGGGGGTGAGTTCCTGTTCTGTCACCAGGGCTGGCAGTGGCAGCCACAGGCAGAGGCTGATGGAGAGGCCTTGGCTTGAAACACTAACCCTGGGGCACAGATGACAGTAGTCAGAGGCCCCAAAGGCCTGAGCTTGCTCAAATGAGGTGTCACTGCTTAAGTTTGCTTAGATGGTTTAAGAAATAAAACCCCCACAAAGCTCAGTAAAAACCTTTCTCTTTGGGACCTTTTGTTAGAGGACCAGTCACTGTCACTTCTGAATACAGAAATCAGGACTCTTCTGTTGAAGAGAAATCAGTGGCAGATAAAAACCCCAGCTGTGTAACCAGGGCTCCTTCTTTTTGACTTTTGGGGTGGGGCTTCAAGTAAAAGGGGGTGTTCTGATCAGGGGCTCTGAAACAGGCCTGGTGAGGAGGAGGGTCACCACCCCACTGAACCACTTTGGTTGCCTCTGGGCAGGGTCAGGGGAAAAGGCGAGTCTCTGCCTACCTCACTTGCCCTCGAGCCCCTGGCCACTGGGCTCTCCGAGGACCTTGTCTGTGTAGTGAACAGCTCTTTGGAGGGTGGGAGTCAGAGACCAGGATTCTGGGCTTAGTTCTGCTGGACGGCGAGCCACGCATCCCCTTCAGGGTTAAGGAAAAGATGGGCAGGGTGATCCGAGCCTGCAGACAAGAGCAGGGACTGTGGCAGCGGACAGCAGCAAGGGTTGGCAGTGCCTGGGGAGGTTCGGGCACTCCTGCCTGCTGGAGGGTGGGAAGAGCCAGGGGCCACGCAGGAGGTGGAGCACCAAGAACAGAGAGCGGGGAGTCTCTCAGGCTGCTTTCTGCTGAGCATGCTGAAGGTTGCTGAGGCCCAAGGTGCCGCCAAAGAGAGATGCCCCTCAGCCTCCCGCTGCCACCCGGGTCCTCCTGCGCTTCAGCCCTTGGTGGGATATCTGCAGAGTCCTGGCTGCAGCCTGCTTGTCTGCACAAGTCCCCTTAAACGCTGCGCTCAGGAAGGCCCCTCTAATGGCCCTGGACCCCCTGCCCTGAAGTGGGTGTGCAGGTAGCACCCTGGCCTACTCCTTCGCCTTTCTTCTGGTGTGTGTGGGTGCTCGCGGCACCCTGCTTCTCCCCGAAGCCCGCTGCATGCAGTGAATGCCAAGGAGCCCATGTGTTTGTGCCCACCTGCAGCTTGGATTGCACTTTGGAGCCTGCGTCCATCGTGTTAATGTTCTGGTTCTCCCATCTGAACACTTACCAGTCGAAAGGAGAAGCCAGAGCGCCCGAGCAGCGGAAGACACAGACCTCACAGCTGAAAACCAAGCGCCTGAGGGAGTACACCCTCAAATGCCACTCCAGCATGCCCCCCAACAACACCTACATCAACTTCGAGCGCTTTGCCCATATGGTAGAAGACATAGTGCAAGTGGATCAGGGATGTCGTGCCCTAGCAGGGGCCCACGACACTCTCCAGGATGACGTGGAGGCCCTGGTCTCCATCTACAATGAGAAGGAGGCTTGGTACCGGGAGGAGAATGAGAACGCCCGGCACAACCTGTCCCAGCTCAAGTACGAATTCCGCAAGGTGCGGTCCTTGAAGAAGCTCCTGCGAGAAGACATTCGGGCCACAGGGTCCAGCCTGGGAAGTGTGGCCAGGAAAATGGACCATCTGCAGGCGCAATTCGAGGCTCTGAGGCAGGAGCTCTCGGCAGACCTGCAGTGGGTGCAGGAACTGGTGGGCAGCTTCGAGCAGGAGAGCAGAGACTCAGGTGGCCTTGGCTCCGTGCTCCGCTGGGATGCCAGCGGATCCCTGTCAGAGCTGCTCAGCAGGTCATGCACTGAGGAAGGCCTGGCCGGCTTGAAGCTGTGAGCACCAGGTCCTAGTCAGCAGTGTGTGCATGTGCAGGACAGTATGCAGGAGCGCGCTGTCTCTCCAGGTGGAATTATCCTGCAGGGTGTGGGTCTGCAGCACAGCCTTCCACCCCTTTCCCAGAAGCCAGAGTCACAGAGCTGCCTCTTTGTTCATCCTGCACCTCCTCTTGCCAACTTGCTTTTCTGAGAGTGCTGGCAGAGAGGCCAAGCTACGAAGACAATTAGAGAAGGAATACCCTTCAGCAGCCCCCTTCCCCAGAGGAAGGACCTGTGGCTGTCCTGGGAGCTGCGTGGTGATTGATGGTGTGATGGATGTGTTCACCTCTCACTCCCACCCACAGGCCTTGGGCCTGTAGATCTTGGGTATCTGTTGAATTAACTAAGGATAGCAAAGTCAGTGCGGTGCTTTCCTGCTGCAAAAGCAGGGACTGAAAATGCGCAGAGAAAATAACATTGCCTTTCATTGGAACTCACTTATCACTTAGCAAGTCTCTGTGCCTGTGCTCTCACTTAATCCCCAAAGAACCTTGAGCCAGAAAGGTGGGCGATGACAGAATGAAAATGCTGGTTTCCACACACGTGATGAGGAGATTGACTCCCAGAGGGAGAAGGTCTGGGTCGTTCATAGCCGGTCCATATGGCTACAAGGGGAAGCTGGCGCACCTGTCTGTGCAGAGAAGGTCTGTGGGAGGAAGCAGGGGGCTTATCTGTAAACATCATACTTTAATAATGACGTGCAGATCCCAGACACTAGGGAAGCAGGTACATGTGTTTGGCCAGGTGTGAGTAGAACGCAGATGCATGCAGAGATTGTCCAGGAGCTGTGTCCCAGAGGGTGCCATGTTCCTACCAGCCCTGTCTCAGTCTGAAGACCAACCTCAGTGGCAGGAGGGAAGGGGCAGCATCTCCCTGTGCTTCCCTACCCCAACCCCACTCCTATCTATGGATCCCAACTTTGTGTTGAAAATGTAGACCGGAAGGTGCTCAACAAAGGGATTCCTTTTTTCAAATTCTAGGCCATTGAGCCCTGAAGGCCAGAGAAATTCCCTGAGCATGTTTGAAGAGGTTGGACCTAAGCCTGTTTTATGCGACACATAAAAGACTGGGAAGCACCAGGTTCTATGGTCTCTTCATGGCCCAAGGCTTTGGGAATCCCTCCCTGGGGATGGTGTGATCTTGTCTCCTTTTCCCTGAGGAGGGATGAATGGGCATTAAGGACAGAGAGGGTCTGGAGTATGGGCCCAGTGCTGTCCTAGAAGCTTGCAAGTGGGCAAAAGACTATATAGTTTTCAGCTATTCACAGCCTGACAAAATGTGCCAGTCAGAAATTTGGATAAACTATTATTCCAAGTTTAGAGATATGGAAACAGAGAGGGGATGTGATTTGACCCAAGTTGCAACATGAGTTACAAAAGTGTGGGCCTTCTAGTGACAAGTCTGTGGCTCTTTCTACTTTGCCCAAGTACCCCCAGCTCTAGAAGTTTATCCTCTATTGTGGAGGCTGATGATACCGAGACTCAACCAAGCATTCACAAATAATTATCTGACACCTTGTAGACACCGGGCTTGAGTCTGAGGGTGTGTCGCATAAAACAGGCTTAGTTCCTGCCTTCACGAAGTTCTCAGTCCCGTGTGGAAGCCCAGGATCAGTCAAGAATCACATGTGCATGGAATGCAGCTGGAGAGAAGCAGCAGCCTGCGGTGGGGTTCGAGCAGGAAGGGCAGGTGTCCTTCAGCAGGGGACACTGGTGCTGAGATCTGTGAAGCAAAGCAGGGAGCGGGGTGTCCTCAACAGGCCATCGTTCTGGGGTGCTGTGCAGGGAGGAGCACGGAAGCCTGGAGATATGAGGACAGGGGAAGCTGGAGGGCGCAGAGGGCCAGCAGGGATTTGGCCATGTCAAAGAGCTCTGCCTTTGTCCCCAGTAATGGGAAGCCGCTGAAGGGGCCTGGGCTGGTCTGGAGAGGTAAGGGCCAGTGGCTGGTATAGCCAGGACAGTAGACAACATATGAGATGCACTTCTCATGGAAATTTTCCTTTACAATCTGATCTCCTTATCTACTAGTAAGAGGGGTTGTTTCAGATATCATACGTAACGGCCATCTCACCCTGAATGCACCCAATCTCATCAAATATCATACATAATATTGTCTCAGAAACTTTCCTTTTTGAGACAGGGTCTTGCTATGTAATTCAGACAGGTGTGGACTTAGTGTGTAGCCCGTGCTGGCCTCACAAAACTCCTCCTGCCTTAGCCTCCTGAGTGCTGGGATTACAAGTATTGTGTCCCCATGTCTGCTGCATCCCAGAAGCTTTTGAATCAAATATGGGAAACCATATGATTATGAGCTGCATCATTACTTTATGTACCATGAAGAAAAACAGAGGCCAATAAGGGGAGTCTAGAAGACCACACACACACACACACACACACGCACGCACGCACGCACACACGCACGCACACGAAGCTGTGAGTAGGTGAAGGGGAAAGACAATCACTGTGCAGAAAAGGAGCACAAGGAATCAGGTGGGACTCAACTGGGACCCTAGGTGAGCTGGCAGATCCCCTGAGCATGGGCCGTCAGTCCAGAGTTTTGCTCTTTGAATTTACAGTCAGTGTGACTCTGAAGAACCTCAAGCTAGAATGTCACACACCCCTCCTGCGGCCCTGCAGAGCCAGTAGAAGCAGCAGGATCTCCCCTCTCCCTGACTTTCCTCCAGGCTGATGCAAAGATAAGATGTCACAGAGTGGCCTCCTGACTCCTGAGGCCCAAAATGCACATCTTGGCATCAAGGAAAGATGGCAAAAGCCCTGTTTCCTCAAATGCCTTTTTCAATCTCTTTGAAGACTTATCTGCCCTCTCATATGCTAGTTTGATATAAACCACTGCAAACATCAAAGGTCCTTTGGCTGGGCCCACAGGGACTGACCTACACAGCCAGGTCTCCTGGGGGAGGGCAAACTCACTTATGAAAGTCAAAATGCAATAAAAGAGTAAGATAGAGGTGATGTTTGAATTAGGGAGATTGGGGGAGGGAGGCAGAAGTGATGTCTTAGATCCAGGCAGCCAGTTACACACTTTGTAGGCTGGGAGGGTCTTGGTCAGTGCCCCACCCCATGCCTTTCACCAGGCAGGACTTTCTGAAAGCCCCCCATGTGGTCAGCCCCCAAGCCGGGCTCAGAGCCGCAGGTTCTCCTTGCACCAGGGCCGTTGTCTCCTCTGTGTTCACGAACAGCCAACGCCACTGCTTCTCTGTTTGATGTCTCCTGGGTGGACCCTTTTCCATACCAAAAGGTTCTACAGCCCAAATCAAAGGGAACTGAGAGGTGGTCCCTACTTCTTCTGGCAGCACACTGATGTGGAGGGAACCCCAGGGCCTTGTGGGGTACAGCCAGTGGGTGCTCGCTGTGCTCCCCCACGGGCACACAGCACAGGGCTGAAGATGATGGAGTGATGGGGCATGGGGCTATGTTTTATTGGGATCCGGAGGGAAGAAGATCTGGGCTGGGGCCCTGCTCTGTAGGCAGCTGCTCTGCCATCCTGAGACGCTCAGGTGAGACCCCATGGCACAGTGCCGGAGGGAGGGGAAGGTGTGGCTTCTCCCCGAGTCGTGATTGGGTCCTGGGGAAGCCCCACCCCACCCCACTCTCAGCAGATGCACCAGGCATATGACTGCCCAGGTTGTGTCAGGAAGGTGACCATTGGTGGTGGGTGATTTTGCAGAGGCTGCACAGTAGCCCTGCCTCCTCCAGGAGTCCTGTTCCACCCCTGCAGGTGATCAGAAGAGATGGAGGTTGCCCGCCTCGCTGGCCAGCATAGCACCCTGCCCCATTGGCCGTGTGCCCAGCTATCACCCCCACTGTTGACCTTCTGCTAATGCCTGTGGCCCTGAACGTCCTTCCTCCTGTGTGAAATTCTTGGCCCCGGGGCTGAGGCCCAGCAGTGGGCATATTGGAGTTTGCAAGGGGCTGATTCAGCTGAACAAACACTTGATTGTGCTTGGGCTCTTGAGGGAGGTGACACATAAGGACAACATAGCCCTGAAACGAAAAACTCAGTATCTGGGGCAGATGGGGCCCCGGCCAACTGGGAGGTGAGAGAGGCTTTGGGGCCTGATGAACAGAGGCACCGAGGGACACAGGAGAGAGGTGATTTCTGAGTGAGACAAGGTCAGCAGGGGGACAGATGGGGCCTGAGGCCTTCCCAGGGATGGTGCCCTGCCCCACAAGCTGTAATTGTAGGCAGAAACCACTCAATGAAATGTTCTATTTTTGTGATATCAGAAATTGAACCCAGGGCCTACCTACTGAGCCACATTCTCAGCTCTTTTTAAAGTTCTTTTTACATTTTAAAACAGGGTCTTGCTAAGTTGTCCAAGCAGGGCTCCCACCCGAGATCCTCCTGCCCCAGCCTCCCAGAGTGCTGAGGTCACAGATGTTCCCCACCATGCCTGGCTCGTGCCCAGTGGAATGTGGAGGGACGACAGGGAGCCAGGTTGGACGAGGAGCTGGGAGCTTTGGAGAGCAGGTTAAAGAGCAGGAGATGGCCGAGAGTAAAGGGAGGGTAGAGTTTGTTTTTCGTGTTGTGTTGTAGAAAACCTTCACAGCTTGGGTACAAGTAGAGGTTGGTGCAGTGAATTCTGTGTCTCTGTTACCCTTTCAACAGGCACCGAGTCACGGCCAGGCCTCTTCATTCGTCTGCCCCAACTCCTTTCTGATGGAGCATATCAAAGCAAATTTGAGACTTACTCAACTCTTAAACTCCTCAGTATGAATATCCTCCATGCCAGGATCACAGCAGGACCCCAACATGGCTTGCAAGTGGCATTTGGGTGGCATCTTTCAAATCTCTTGAGCTAGCACAGGAGGGAGAGCTTTGGAAGCTTTTTCTAGGGGTGAAGAATTGGTCAGAAAACTGGAAGCCCTGAAAAACAAAAAGTGAAAAATTTTAAAAAGCTGGGTGTAGTGACACATACCTGTAATCCCAGTACTCAGGATGCTGAGGCAAGAGGATTGCTGTAAGTCTGAGACTAGTCTAGGCTACGGAGTGAAACCCTGCCTTATTTTATTTAAGTAAATAAATACTTCTTTAAAAAATTAAAATTAGAAAACCAGAGGGGGTATAGAAAAGCATGCAAAGAGTATACACATGCTCGTGCTGAAGGCCCCAGTGAGTGAGGCCAGGCCAGGCAAGGACAGGCACTTCCACTCTGCCCACCCCTGCATTCCTGTAGGTGACAGCCCACAGCCCTGGGCCCGCTGAAGTTCTCCCACTGGTCAGGAGGAGGCAGAGACTCACGCACCAGGATCGTCACCTACACCTTACTGCTTGCTGAGAACAAGGAGGCTAGCAGGGTCCCCAGCAAAAGGAGCAGCCCAGGGAGGGAGGGGAAGGAGGAGGCTCTGAGTGACAGTGTCATCCTGCATAGGAGAGGGAAGTGAGTGCTCCGGCCTCCTCATGGAGCGTGAGTCTGCAGAGCGTGAGTCTTCTCTTCCCTCCCCTCCCCTCCCCTCCCATCCCATCCCTTCC